GGTTTAGGGGTTGAGGGTTTATAGGGGTTTAGGGGTTTAGGGTTTAGGGCCTTTAGGGTTTAGGGTTTAGGGAAGCACTTGAAGGTGCGTAAGGCGGTATAAGTGGTTTGGGCCCGGAAGCCCTTGCAAGTCCTACTTGTGCAAGCTGCAAGCCTTCATGTACCCTAAACCCTAAACCCTAAACCCTAAACCCAAGACCCAACAAGGCCGATTGCCTCAGTATCATGTGTATGTCCCTGTGGCTGTTTACATCGCAGAACTGGATCTAAACCCTCACTGGATCCTGAAACCCTAAACTCTACACCCTAAACCCTATACCCTAAACCAGAAAACCCGAAACCCCGAGGCCCTTAGCGCTAAACCCTGAACCCCAAACCCTGAGCCCTAAACCCTAAGCCCTCCCCGACTGGATCCTTCAGAAGCGTTGGGGACGTTATCCGTCGTCTGCTGGAGGCCTCTCGCGAGTGTAGGAACCCGATTTAGAAATCCTGGTCCTATAGCCCGAAGTATTGTGATCCATTTAAATTATGGGTAGTTCTCAAAATGAGGGTCCTTTTTTTAGGTCCCCAACATAGTACGGGACCCTTATAGGAAGGACCCTAAAGGGGACCCTAATTTAGAGAACTGCCCATATACAGAGCCCTAATAAAGACCCAAGCTTTCTGAATCAGGCTCCTATGTTAGCATTCCTCGGCAGCAGTGGTGCATCTTCGCGCATGGATCGTCTGTAGCCGCTGCTTGCATATGTACAGACACGGTGCACGTATCTATATCTATATATATATATATATAACGATATCAGTACCTGTAAATATGAGCAAGCAAACATCTAAAGAGATAGGTAAGCAGTAAATCCGAAACAGCAAGACATGTCTGCCTGTGTGTCTGTCTGCATTGTCTGTCTGCACGAATGCATGTGTGCATCTACGTATGTGCGTATGTATGCATGCATGCATGCCTGCATGCGTGTGCCTAGCAGGTAACTAGGTAGGCAGGAAGGCATGCTGTGACTTGCAATCTTCAACCCTGAATGATGAATCCCTGCAGCCCCGATCGTGAAGCCTACAGTCCTACAAAAACCTGAACCTCAAGACCCGGTAAACCCTAAGCCCGAAACTCAGAACCCTATAGACCCTGAGCCCAAAACCCTATAATGCCTTACTTTTAGGATTCATTCTTGCAAGACCCGATAAAACTCTGAAAAGCCCTAAACCCTAAACCCTAGACCTTGAACCCTAAACCCTAAACCTCAAACCCTAAACCCTACACCTTGAACCCTAAACCCTAAACCCTAAACCTTGAACCCTAAACCCTACACCTTGAACCCTAAACCCTAAACCCTAAACCCTAAACCTCGAACCCTAAACCCTAAACCCTAAACCCTAAACCCTAACCTTGAACCCTTAAACCTAAACCCTGTAAACCCGAAAACCTTGAACCCTAAGCCCTAAACCCTAAACCTTGAACCCTAAACCCTAAACCTTAAACCTTGAACCCTAAACCCTAAAGATCTTCGTCCAGATCAGGAGAACCAGCATCTCCGCGAGCAGAAGAAGGAACCTGCAGCGGCACCTGCGCAGGCGTTTAGGGGTTCAGGGTTTAG